CGCACGGTCCAGTGCGTCGCGACAGCTTCTCAGATCCATCTCGATCGTGGACAATTGCGTCTCGACGTTGGTGCTTTTAGCGCGAAGACGATTCGTCTCTTGCAGCAGCTCCTCCACCTTGTGGACCACCGTCTCCGGGCTGGGATGAACGGATTCGCGGTACTCGACGTTCAACGCGTGTGCCAGCTTTCGAGTAAACTCCTTTGTCGAAGGAACATCGAAACGTTACGATCGATACGCGAATGAGAGACTCGAAGGAAAAGAGAATCGAACCTGGAAGCTTGAACGAATACGTTCTTTCGACTGTATCTCCTCGGACACTGCCTGTTCTAACTGACGTATTTTCTTGTCGCATTCTCGGACCTTTTCCTCGTGGTACTTGGTGTCCCTTTGTAAACCCTGTATCGTGATCTCGTTTCTGCTTTGAGTCGCGTACAGAGCTCTTTCTCTCTCCTCCAATTCCTAGTTGTCCGTGTTTTTAACGAATATACTCGTTAGAAAACGCATGAAAGGGTTCGAGGGTGTCTCGACGCGTTCGCTAGCAACTCACGGTATTTTTTCTAATATAGAAACGCGTTAAGCGAACAAGTTTCCTAATACTCTTTCGTTTCCTATTAAAAGCGCGTTACGCAACTGACTTGTCTTGGATCGTTGTCTCGCTGTATCGCGAAATCATCCGTCGGATTATCGACGGGAAAATCAACAAATGAAAAATTGCTTATCGATGCGTATTGGTAAACCATTTGAAACTTCCTGTTTGCGAAATACGTGCAACGTTGTTAGCGGACGCGTTAAGGAAATTATGGACCCCAGAAGGGACGAAACGTAACCTGTACACGTTTCTTGAGACTGGAAACGATGGCATTCTGTCTGGCCGCTTGTTCGCGAAGCTGATCGACCTCTACCTCCAATTCCACGATTCGTTGATCCCGACTTCTGATCAGGCTCTTCGTCTCTTGGAGCTAAACGACATAGACGCTGATCAACGAACTGTTCCTTCTCGTCTTTACCTTTTGTTAGCGTTTAGATTTACCTCGGACACGAGACGGTCCCGCTTGTATTCGAGTGCCGCTAGTTCGCTCTTCAGCGTGATAGTTAAATCACGATTCATACTTTCCTCGTGATCAATCTGAAGCATCGTGTTCAAAGTTCTAATCATAGAAACATCGGTTATCTAAAAATGTTTAGGAAAAAGCCAGTTCAGGCCACCGGAATTTGCAGATAACAGTAGCCATCAATTTCTTGTTCGAATCCATCTATCGGCAAACCTTATCGCGATCAAAATGACAAAATTGAAAGTTCGATAACTATCCATAAATTCTGGCAATTATCGTGCCGATAAAATATTAAATCGAACGAGATACGTCGCTCTCGTTGTAGAGACAACCGATTTAAAAACGGATTAATTTCCGAAAGTCGCTCTTTTGCGACACGTGGCTTCGATCGGTCTTATTGGAATACTGAGCACGAAACCGTATTAACCGTGACACATACATATTTCGTTTAGAAGATCGATAATATTCAGCTACTCTTTACGATAACAGCTCCGTTTAGACTTTACGCACTCGGATTAACGGGATTTTCAATCAAATCTGGCTAAAAGAATCGAAATCGTGCTCTTGATATCGAGCCATTTCGGGCAGTTTTTCATAGTCGAAGTACAATTTGATAACTTTATGCTTGTTTGGACCCACGCTTTGAAAGTACGCGAAGAATGCGGGGTTCCAGATTTTCGAGCCGATGGCAAAAGAGGTGGCGGCAGAGGGTTGCACCTCGATAGAGGCGTGCAGTGACAGGTAGGATCGATTCCGTGGAACGCTATGGCAACCAGAGGCCTTCGTGCGTCAGTCGATACCGTTTCAACGATTGTCCCAATCACTGGCGAACTGTACATCGTTTCAGCGTTGTACCTCAAAAAGAACTGTTCATATTTCGACCAGACTAAATGGCAGAAACTACTACTTTTGTAACGTTAGGTTATTTAAAGCCGGTCCTAAATGATGCAATTACCTAATTACGTACAATCTGACAGTTTAATAAGCCTTGTATCGTGAAACGAAGAATCTGCACCGATGGCAATTAGTACTTTGTAGGTGCTGTTTGTGGAGGCCACTTCAGAATGCGAAATACTAGATTGTTAATCTTTGCGTTCAAGAGGTGACTCACAGTCGCCATTATATTTAATACAATAATTTTAAATAGCATTTTTTAACTGATTTTATAATATAACAAGTGTGATGTATAAACATAGTGAAACAAACAATAGTGGAAATTATTAGTAAAGAAATAATAAGCTCAAGAAAATTCATTTAACTTTTTAAGCAAGTTTTAAACTTGCTGTTTGTGGAGGCCACTTTAAAATGCGAAATACTAGATTGTTACCCTTTGCGTTCAAGAGGTGACTCACAGTCACCATTATATTTAATACAATTATTTTAAATAGCATTTTTTAACTGATTCTATAACATAACAAGTGTGATGTATAAACATAGTGAAACAAACAAATTATTAGTAAAGAAATAATAACCTCAAGAAAATTCATTTAACTTTTAAATCGCTGTTTATGAACAGTAAAATTACCTTCGAGTGCAAAGGGTTAAATTATTGTTTCCGCTAAAATAACTTTCGAAAGATCACCGTTAGTAAGAGCGGTTTCACTCTGCTTAGAAGGTGCATTTGAACGGCCAGGGGTTAAAATACAAAGAGAAGGAAATCCAGGTGGCAGCGAGGACGAGTGCGAAGCCGAGAAAAGAAGCTTTGTGCGCGTGACTGTTCGATACGTGCTGGTGCGCATACTCGTGACAAAGAGCTTTACTGTCATTGCGAGTGTTTGTTGCAAATAATAAGCGGTGCATCCTGTTTGCCGTGGTAAATGGTTAATCTGGGAGAAAGGACCTTTCGAGGAGACGATATGCGAAGACTTTGGAAGATCTGTAGATCTTCGTTAGGTTCCTTCGGTTCTCGCGCCTCCACGATGACATTATCCTTCTTTCTCTCTCTCTCCCTCACCCTTTCTCTGTCTCTGTCCGTCTCTTCCTCGCTGGACATCTTGACTCGTACCGTCGAGTCCTTTCACCTGGATCAATCGACGCCGATCCGATCAAGACGACTCGAAGGAAAGATTCGTCTTCTTTGTCCACATGTTTCGGCGACGCTTTTCGACCGACTGCTTCTTTGGTGAACGATTCAAAGGTTGAGGGCGGAAAAGCGTTTCCAACGAGGAGGAAGCGTCGACGCGCAGCGAACGAGCAGCCATCGACTTACCAAACCCCTGCCACGGATACCTCGAGATAATCGAAATTCATCGATCCGTGGTAACCATTCTTTCGGATTCTACGATGAAGCGTCGATTTTCGGGTATTTGTCAAACGCCATTTTTCTTCGACTTTACAAGTTAATATTTTTTCAAATATTCCGTTGCAACAAAAGCAACGATTATAAAATAACAATTATTGAATTCCCCGATTATTATCGATTCGTAGAAAATTGCGTCAGTTACCCTTCAGAGAAAAATTCATACGCTATCTAGATAAAGTATAAGAAGCAATAAAAAATGGAAAAAGGAAAAACATTCGTAGATAATGGTGTTTATTATTAACACCGGCGTCATCGTAACAATTATCGTTTTCACTATCATACTAAGTTATTGCTGTTTCGTACTAAAAGTTAATCTTTACAACTAACTTAATCAACGAAACAGACTTTTAAACGTGTATCGATAGAGAGCTAAATACTATCTGAAACGTGAATGCATGCACGTCTAAATGATAACATTTTATGATTCATAGTGTCGTTTTGCGTTTATAGCTAATAAATTTGTGAGGTGGTCGTAAAAATTGGAATATAAATGGCGCCAGAAGGTTCGAGTTTCGCAAGTGTACAGAGTACAAGAACAACATGAGGCTTTTCAAAGATCTGACAAGTGTGGCGATTGCTTTGATGAGTGTATTCGCTCTGTTTGCAACAGCCTCGGCTGATCCAAGTCCGGTAACGCTAATTTCAATTTTGTATTCAACTATTTCTTCTTTTACGTTACGGTTGGAATAAAATAACTTTTTTTCAGAATGCTGAACCAATAAGTCCACAGGCTATGAAGTCTTTACTTGGCTAAATAAAGGAAGGACATTAATTTTTGCATAAAAATATAACTGATATGCACTGTGGAAACATTCAATTTTACTTTATATGAATTTTGGCAAATTGTAATGAAGAATTTGTAATTAAAATAAAACAGCCGAATGTAGAACTTCTTTTTCTTCTCGACTACTATGGTAAAGAAGTAGACGTTAGCCGCGGTCGGTAGTTGCTTAACAATTTGCGTAATGGAAACCAGCAACCACAGCTGACACCATTATTCGATTCTCTGTGAAAGAATCGAGGGCGAAACTTCGGAAAACCGTTTCGACCAAATTTTGCAAGTAAATCTTTTCTTGCAAAAGAAGATATTTGTGAGAATGAAAAGAATTTGTTGCCATTCGTATGTCACTCCCTATATCATCGACGAGGTGCAGTAGAGTATGCGAACTGTTCTGAACACATAATCTGCATCTTCGGACCTAAGAAATATATGACAAGCAGAATAAAATCAATTTTTAATAAATATACGCCATATTAGTCAATAAAATTAGTGTTAATTGGGTTTTTATTATAATGGAACTGGTGGCGCCATCTCTCCGGCGAACAGGGTGAACTACACACTTTTGAAACAGCAGGTTGATTAGTTCCTATCTTCTACCGCTAGATGGCGCCACGAGTATCGTTTCCGGTTCAATTCAATCAGTATAGTTCATTTTATTAGCTTAACATGAATTGAATAACATCCAAGTGCAAATCCAATTAACTTTAAATTCTTTTGGGTCTAACAAACTATTCAAGATTAACAATTTCTAACCATTCTTAGACTAATCTTAATTACTCTAAAAGTTCCTATCTTACGTGTCGCCATCTAGCGGTAGAATATGTGAACTAATTAAAGTCCTGTTTCAAAAGTGTGTAGTTCACCCGGTTCGCCGGAGAGATGGCGCCACTTATTCAATTTTTAAAAAATCCTTTTTTACGAATAATTTATCAGAAATTGGGACTTCAAAAATATTTTAGAAGTATTTAAAAAAAGATCTGGCTAAAATACAAGAAATGTCATTGAATTATATAGTTTCCTTTCGAGAAAACTAAGTATTTCTTCAACATGGATCAGCTGTTAGCTTCAAAATGGCTGCAGTACATAATTTGCACCCGGTGTCGAATGTAACATAACTTAATTTCAATTGTAGAGTATTGTATAAAATGTGGTCTCGATTGTATGGTTCGAACCATGCAAATTTTGATGCGGTATTTAAAAACTTTTCGAGACACTATGTAAATATTTCATTCTCCTTCCACTTTGTATGATGCTTTATAAACTAACCTCGTACAAATCTTACTTTAGGCCAAAAAGTTCGTTCACGCAGCTAGACGCAAAAGAAAAATTATTAACCCTGAACCAGAAGTTAAGAGGAGTGGTATACCGATAATAACTTGCAAAAGATCTAGTTTCAACTTTTATAAAGGCGATAGATATGATAAATGGAATCCAGTCTTGGCAAGTCAGTCGTGGAACAACAAGTCCTCTAGAGGCGATTATTTTTATATACATCCTTACGACATTGTAAGTTACATTGATAATCTGTGGCTCTATTTTATTTGTTACAGTATCATAAATATAAACACAGTTTACATTTTAGAATAACAATGATACAGAAGAGCAAACTGGAATTGGAAAGTTTGAAGACCTTAATTTAGATTCTCAGTTATGTGAACGATTGGAAGATTTGGGTTTTGAATGTCCTTTGGAGATTCAAAATCTAACGATACCAAAAATTCTTAAAGGCTGTAATGCTGTAGTGGCAGCTGAAACAGGATGCGGTAAAACACTAGCATACATGTTGCCATTGATAACAAAAGTTTTGAGATGGAAAGAAATGGAAAAAAGAGACATGAATTGTCCACTAGGTTTAATCGTAACTCCATCTAGGGAATTAGCAGTACAACTTGGGGTTTGTAACAATAATATTGTTTTATATGTTCATTTGCGAGTTACTAATATTTATAAAACATATTTTTTCAGCTCGAGTTGATTAGGTTATCTAAATGTCTTGGTATTAACACCAAATTAATAACGGGTGGAAGAACTAAAAAAATGATGCGGGATCCCCCTGTTGGGAACGTGGACATTCTCGTTTGCAGTTTTGGCGTGATTAGTAAATTATCCACAATTGGAATCTATAACGTGAAATCAGTAAAATTCGTCGTGTTAGACGAAGCCGATGCGCTTCTTCACGAAACGTTCGAAGAGAAGTTACAAGTCTTCTTAAAGAGAATTCCTGTACGTAAAAAATACGCGCTCCATTCTTAAAATATTTATTAACAATAATTGTGTTAATGGCTTTGATTTGTACAGATTGGTTACCATCAAACATCATCCGTGGATACGTTGCCGACTAGTGCTCAACTCATTCTAGCCTCTGCGACGATTCCTTCGCGGTTAGAAACTGTCTTGGGCAAAATCGTAAATGTGAGTAGTTTGCTTTAACCGATATTAGCAACGCATTATCCTAACAGGCAATAACGGGTTGCGTTAAAAAATTCGTTTGCAGGTAAACTCTTTAGAAAACATAACGACGGATAAGCTACACAAAATATTGGTTTTGCAAAAGTTCATGAGACTAGGTCCGAGTCAAAAAGCGGTGGAGCTCTTAAAATATATAAAACCTAAAGTTTTAAAGAACCAACCTGTAATTGTATTTAGTAATCAGGCTGATACGTCATATTGGGTATGCAAATTTTTACACCAGTGTGGAGTAGAAGCTACAAATTTAAGTGGCGAAATGTCATTATACGAACGACGCGGAAAGTACGGAGAATTTATAAACGGTACCACAAAGGTGTTGTCAACGACGAACGCTGGATCGAGAGGTTTAGATACAGTAATGGTTAATCATATTTTAAACTACGAGTTTCCACTGGATACATCCGACTATATTCACAGGTATGCGATTCGAGTAATCGGTAATTCAACTTTGTTGCTCAAAGTAGAATCAAAACGTCTATTTAATATATTTAGATGCGGCCGAACCGGTAGAATAGGTACCGTAGGGGAATGCAGAGTGACAAACTTTATCAGCAAACCGGGAGAAATCGTTGTGGTTCAAAAAATCGAAAAAGCGGTAAGGAAAATGAAACCATTTCCCATTTTTAATCTTGTGAATAAACAAGAACAAGAAGTAGAAGAAGAGGACTATACAGACGAGCCGATCGAAAATTTAGATTCTGTCGACCATATACCGTATTAAACTGTAAATATTTTCTGCATCGTATATGTAAATAAAAACATTTGATTTTTCGTAAAGATGCATCAGACACTGTACTCGCTCGCGTTGTTCCCATTTCTCGTAACCGTATAATGCCGACAAATTCACCGATACGAGAAAGTCTTCGAGGAAGCCTTTGCAACGACTCTCGATGGGATCAAAGCATCGACCTGGCGTCGTTGCCCTTAAATCTGTTTAATTTCGTTCGACATTTGTCTCCCGTTTCGTTGTATCTCGATCGTATCGAGCGGTTCTTTTATCGGCCAAAGTTTCGAATTCGAAATTTGTAATTCGAGGAAGGAAGCCCACGACCCACACGCGCGTTTCCATCCATCCGATGTTCCGTCATGTCCGGCGACACTCCCACGTTAACCGCCTACGTACCACAAACAGAACTACTGTAACGCAGACCGTACGTCTAGACCAGTTTATTACTCGCAATGCGTTTTAGCGAAATTAAGCGTCTCCGTGCACGCTTCTATTCGTGTCTTTCCGTAAAAGGGTGCGCCGTGCGATCGCGTTGATAACGACGCGCGTACGATACAGGTGGAAGCCTCTTCATTCACGCCTATCGCTAATACGAACTTCTGTTCGATACGACCCTGTCGAGATCACGGAAAGAAAGGATAATATACCCGATAAAACAACCAACTAAAAGCCGTGCTCCTCGTTCCTGGTAAAAATTACATCTCCGTAAAAAGGGAAGCGGAAACGGAAATACGATGAATAGCCAGAATCAAAGACAATGAAAATAGACTAATTAACGTGGGTAGTTGCGTGTCACATAGGACAGAGAAATTTCAAACGCGAGTACACGGAGCGTACAGGAGTCCTCGTGACAGAACGATCGACGGTTCCGTTACTTGGAACGAGAGCCCACGTATAATTAAATGGACGACCGAAATGGTTTACGCGAAACAAGGAAAAATATATACCAGCTTTACTTTCCGCCGACTTTCTTACTTTCCTTTTTCCCTTAGAAAGAGAAGACAACGCGATGCTCTAATTCGATCTCGATTCCTACCGAGGAGTCGGTCACGTTCGACCTCTATACCGAGCAGTTAATTCATCGAATTACGGTCAGAGGGAATCGGATCAAAACGCGCGTCGCGCGGATTTGAATCTAAAACGCCCGAGTCTTCGGACAGTTCGTCGAATTTTGAAAATCGCTCGAAAAGCGAATCGTTTCGAAAGGAAGTAATTAGTCGATTTTCGTGAGTGACCATTACTCGAAAGTAATCGATCTAAATGGGACGAAAACTGTAAACAAAATAATTTCCCGTGAGCCCGTGGCGTTGTCGAGCGTCGGTAATGGAACCTCGTGACTCGTGACGAGCGCTATAGGATCGTAGAGAGTAGAGAGGAATGGTGCGGTGTTGCGGCGAAATACTGAAAGTGGGGGGTCCCGGTGAGGGTTCTAATAGAAGCGAAATCAGTCGTTCCGCGGCGCGCAACCTGTTAGCGTCGTGGCGTCGCGTCCGCCTTTTATTTTCCGTTTCTTTTCCATCCGTTCTTTCGCACGGTATCTCCGTTGAATCGGCTCGCGATTATCCCTGACCGAGTTCTCGTCGCGGTACAGTTCGGTGCGAAACAGTTTGAAAATCATATTCCTGCGAAAAAGGTTACCGATCGGCGCGTCAGGCCCAGGTTGACGAACCCTCTCAAAGAGGCGGACACGTCGCTTCCGTAAAAATGCAGTCCGTCGGCCGAGCGATCGGTTAACGCGCAATATATCTTCGGATCGCGCGAACAATACCTGCCGGGCAAAATCGTGAGCAACGGCGTTGTTCTCGCGTTGCAGTCGAAGCGACAGGAGAAACAAGAGACCGATCGAGGCAAAAAGGTAGCGACGCGATCGAAACGACGCACTCTTCGATCAGCGTCGATGTCGGCGTCGAAAGGATTTCAAAGTTCGACGGACGCGCCTCGTATCGATCGATTTCGACTTCCGTGACGAGTGATCGCGTCGGATTAAGCACACGCGTACGCTTTTACGGTGAATCGTGAGTTAGGACAAAGCGTTTAACGACGCGCAACGGTAACGGATCGATGGTCGATCGTCGTGCGCGAAGAAAATCGAGGCTAGAAATAAAGTCGGAGATCCGAATCGAACGTGCACGGTGGTCGTGTGGTGCCGTTGACCGATTTAATTTATCTCGCGTTGGCAGGACAGTTCGTCGAATTTTGAAAATCGCTCGAAAAGCGAATCGTTTCGAAAGGAAGTAATTAGTCGATTTTCGTGAGTGACCATTACTCGAAAGTAATCGATCTAAATGGGACGAAAACTGTAAACAAAATAATTTCCCGTGAGCCCGTGGCGTTGTCGAGCGTCGGTAATGGAACCTCGTGACTCGTGACGAGCGCTATAGGATCGTAGAGAGTAGAGAGGAATGGTGCGGTGTTGCGGCGAAATACTGAAAGTGGGGGGTCCCGGTGAGGGTTCTAATAGAAGCGAAATCAGTCGTTCCGCGGCGCGCAACCTGTTAGCGTCGTGGCGTCGCGTCCGCCTTTTATTTTCCGTTTCTTTTCCATCCGTTCTTTCGCACGGTATCTCCGTTGAATCGGCTCGCGATTATCCCTGACCGAGTTCTCGTCGCGGTACAGTTCGGTGCGAAACAGTTTGAAAATCATATTCCTGCGAAAAAGGTTACCGATCGGCGCGTCAGGCCCAGGTTGACGAACCCTCTCAAAGAGGCGGACACGTCGCTTCCGTAAAAATGCAGTCCGTCGGCCGAGCGATCGGTTAACGCGCAATATATCTTCGGATCGCGCGAACAATACCTGCCGGGCAAAATCGTGAGCAACGGCGTTGTTCTCGCGTTGCAGTCGAAGCGACAGGAGAAACAAGAGACCGATCGAGGCAAAAAGGTAGCGACGCGATCGAAACGACGCACTCTTCGATCAGCGTCGATGTCGGCGTCGAAAGGATTTCAAAGTTCGACGGACGCGCCTCGTATCGATCGATTTCGACTTCCGTGACGAGTGATCGCGTCGGATTAAGCACACGCGTACGCTTTTACGGTGAATCGTGAGTTAGGACAAAGCGTTTAACGACGCGCAACGGTAACGGATCGATGGTCGATCGTCGTGCGCGAAGAAAATCGAGGCTAGAAATAAAGTCGGAGATCCGAATCGAACGTGCACGGTGGTCGTGTGGTGCCGTTGACCGATTTAATTTATCTCGCGTTGGCAAAAGGACCCGGAAGCCGCTATATTGGAGAGGAAGCGAGAAAGCGGCGTGCCGCTCTTCTGTGTACCGCGGCAGAGGCGATCGTCGCAGCTCGAAAACGTAAGTCCTACGCTCTATCTTCGACGCAGGTCGATCTTAATTCGTCGCGTAAAACTAGACTTGTGGAAACGGAGTAGGAATTGCGCGCAACAAAATGTTACCCTCGAGACGTTTCCGTGAATGAAATCGGCCTCGACGATACGCTCGTAAAGCGTACTCGCGAGATACCTATCGTTTATCGGTAACGATCGAGACGGCACAAGTACGTCGAGCGCGATAATTGTACCGCGATTCGTAGAATTATTAGTCACGAAACGAGAGAAAGTACAGGTCACGTATGTAACGAACCTATTCGTCGCATACGGGTAACCGACAAACGCTCGAAAAAAGGTTTCCCCGCTACGGCAGCCGATTCATGTTCCGCAAGAAAGTTAGGTTAACGCGAAGAAATACCGGTAGGTGAAGGTCACCAGTGTCCATTGGACGACGACGACGCGTAGTACGAGCAAATTCGTGCCGCTGCACGCAGCATTCTTCGCGACTTCCTGTAAATCGACTCGCGATCGTTCATAAATTCTACGCTCCGCCGTATCCGTTCTTCGGGCGATAAGGTTGAGTATCGTTTTGCAGCTTTAAAATTGACACTTGACCGAAATTCGGAAACGCGGAGAGCAAGATTACGAAGCCTGTATTTTATGCGCTCTTATGCTCGCAGTTTCGAGACGAGAAAAATTGCTTAGAGCGACAGGTGGCTTCCGTAGCTTCGTTTCCGATGGTCGTTCCACTATTTCAGTTCGCGAATTTTAGAAGATCGAACGAGTAAATTGCGTGCATCGCGTGCGTTCACCGTTCCCATCGTCCGCGTGCCTCTTCGTCATCGAACCGTCCACGGTTACGCATCTTCCTCTTCCGTTCACTTTTCAAAATTGCCAACCACTTCGCGTTAGCAACGATAAATCTATCGAAAATCGACGTCCTTCGATAAAATACAGACAGTGTTCGAAAGAGACGACGAAGAATTCTGATGCAGCCGATTGTAAGGGAAAGAAACGTTTGCATGTAACGTTAGCGTATTCTCGGCACGTATAGGCAATAGGAGTTGGTTATTACGCCTACTTCCGGTGGTTGGATCGCGGTGGCGCGGACTCGCTCGAGCTTTAACGCGCTGCACGAATATTCCACGTATTTTTCCCGTTCGCTTATTCGCGTCGTTTCGAGGAAAATGCGTGCGTTTTATGGCTGGTGGAAGAAGTTGGGAAAATCGTCGCGGAAGATCGTGCGTCGTAACGCGTTTCGAGTCGGTTACGCGTGAAAGGTACGGCCCCGCTATTCGAAAATACCGGAGAAGAACGCGCGGCAGACCCGGCTGGAATTTTCGAACAGCTGCAGGCGCATACCTAAGCGATACCGACCATGGCCCAACCTCGGCACTACGGAAACGCTCGTAAACTCGACCAACTTTGCTCGTCTCGTCTCGAATACGCTTTGGAAAAAACGTCCTTCCCTTTTATCGCGCGTCTCGCCTTTTACCCTTTGCGAGCTGGCCGATCTCGTCTGAGTAAACGACGAGCACGGTGATTTCGCTCGCCAACGAGCGCCGTTTCGACAGGCTGCACGATACTCGTTCGAACGGACCGGTGCGGTGAGCAGAAAAGGATTGACCATATGGTCGGATGAATGGGGAGTCGAACACGAAACGAAACGAAAGCTTTACGGGTGCAGTTGGTCGAACGACTACTCCGATCGACTCGGTTCGAACCGTACGAATCTCTGTCTCGTGATTTTCGCGATCTAGCGATTCCTGCTCGAGGATTCGCCAAGATACTCGTGGAAAAAGGAGATCCGCTGAAAAGAGATCCTTCTTCTCGAGCCCTCTCGACCCTCTTTCGCTTCGCTACGCTCCGTTGCTCGTCCCGACGACGCGAGTTCCGTTTAACGCGATGCCACGCATATCGAAGGCGAGGCACGCTCGTCGACGCGTCGAGCTCCGCGGAAAAAAGAGAAGGCTTCTCGAAAACGTATCTAGAGAACAAAATTTCCTCCGGCTGGTTCTTTCGTCGACGGAGAGAAGAAAGGGGGTAAGAAAGGAAATACGCGTATGCCGGTAATCGGGTTTCTTCGTACCGATCGGCTGGAATAGAAACAGTTTCCTGCGACGATAACCTTCCCCCCTGGAATCGAATTATCATCGTCGGTCATGACGCGCCGTCGGCTTGACAGGATACAGGTTCTTTAAAAGCGACCAAAGCCAATTAATTAGAGCCGGATGCGTTGATTGACCTCTGAATAAAGTTCGTCAGGGTCCAAGCGTCGCGCATCGCCGGGGGCTCGGCCCTTTCGTTTCAACTTTCAAGTTTATCCCGTTTGTCGTTCTCGACCGAGAGCGAACTAAATGCGCGCGGTCTCGCTCGATTAGCCTCTTCGTCGCTGAACCAAGACCAAACAAAACCAAAATCTACGTCTCCTCCCGATAATCGAGCGTCCCGATCGATAAGGAGGAAGAATCGGCGAATATACTGTTACGCGGCACAGCGCGTGGCTAACTGTAAAAAGCATCCACCTCGGTACTCGTCGGTGAACCGCCTGCCGAGCAGACTTGTCACCGCACCGGTACGTTGCGTACGCGTCGCGTCGCTTACGCGAAAACGTCAGCTGGCACGCGAGACCCCTCGCGGCGCGTTCGCGCGCGATTTCGCGCCCGTTTACGCGAAATGCGGATCGAACGGGAGCACGCTACCGTACGCGTGCACGTCTAATTCCGAGAGCAACCGCGAAATCCGATTGACCGGCTTTCGGAAGCACGAGCAACGCGTCCTATAAATATCCGCTGTACGACGAATCGAGGACAAGAGCACTATTATTTATAAATGCCGCGCCATCGAAGCGCGTTCGATCGATCGAGAAAAAGGGTAAAGAGATCAGGATACGACTGGTCGAACTCGTTCGTCGATCGTTAGCATTTCGGCGAATCGGTTGCTTCGGCTTTCGTAAGTTCTCGGCGACAGGGACGCGCGGTTCGGTCGCATTTCTCGCGCGTTAACTAGTTACGAAAGTAACAGTGGCTCGACTCGCTTA